GGGGGAGGGGGGAGGGGCGGGAAGGATGTGACGTCACAGAGGCGGTTTACTCCACTATTAGCAACGCGGTTTATCTGCTTGGGAAGCAGCACGTGAGAGTTCGTCCTATAGACCTGTCCATGCTTTCTTCACTGGCTATCCCAGGCCTACATTAGTCCTACCTCAGTCGGGGATTGACAAAATTTTAAAGTTAAGCCTAGTGAACATGGAAGCCGCTGAGGAGAGCCCGGTGGAGATCGAAAACCTGGCGGAGACGGAAAACCTGGAGGAGACGGAAAACCTGGAGGAGAGCCAACCCCCGGCCCTGGGCGCTTCAGTCACATCAAGAAATAACGCAGGTATGGACGAAGATTTTACTTTACCAGAGGGCAAGAGGAGGCGGAAGGGGTCCCTGCCAACAGAGTCGGTGAGGATCCTCCGCGACTGGTTGTATGAACACCGGTTTAAGGCCTACCCTTCAGAAATGGAGAAGCGAATGCTGTGTGAACAGACCAGTTTGTCTTTCCTGCAGATCTCTAACTGGTTCGTTAATGCTCGCAGACGCCTTCTCCCAGAAATGCTTCAACAGGATAGAAACGACCCCAACCAGACCACCCCGCGCCACCAAAAAGGCAAAGCCGCCGATGCAAACTCCCTTCAGAGCACCGATCCGTCTACGCAGGTCAAATCGGGTCCTAGAGGTTCAGACAAGGTACAATACCTGCCCCTGTGCCCCCTGCCAATGGGCCAGGAGTTAAGAGAGAAGCCGCCAGATCCAGAGTCTATACCAAGCGGGAAGCTCACTCGGAAGGCCCAGCGAAAGAAAAAGGTCAAGATTTCCACCGTCAGACCCCTGTCTTCCCCAGAGCCTGTGTCTCCAGAGGAGTACCAGGATTTCAGCAGCTTCCAGCTGCTTGTCGATGCAGCCGTACAAAAGGCTGCTGAACTAGAGCTACAGAAGAAGCAAGAGCCCGATCCATGATTTCTTGTATCCTGAAAAAGGTCAAGTAGCAGAACCCTTGTCTACTTACTGTGTTAGATCCATTTATGCTTACCCTAACTAATTTGTGTGTTTACCTTTTATAGAGGCATCTTTCCTTCTAGAGGTTTTATGAGAACCCTTGTTAGCTATTGGGACTCAGTTCTGCCAGATAATTCAGTGTTTGCAGTGGAAGACACTAACTTTCTATCATGATTAAAATTGCAGCAAAGATCTCTGTTCTGCTTCCTCCTGGATTTAAACTCTTCATACTATCAGACTAATACATGTGATTAGACACCATCCTGAGACTTCAAAGAAGAATGTTTTTGGCTTTGTAGCCAAGTTTGTTAGTTCCAGGACTGCTGCTGCTGCAGATACCAGGTTACCCCTCTTTTCTCTCTCTCTTTCTCTCTCTCTCTCACCTTCCTTGTTTATTAGAATAAATGACAGAAAGAAAACCTCTATAAAAGATGGCTATAACAGCACTGGCCTCATTTTAATGGTGAAATTTTTGTGAAACTTTCAACCCTTAAGTTTCTCTTTGTACAGTTTATTGACCATTTGTAAGGAGTAGTCAGTGCAAGGGGCTGATCATCAGAGCCAAAGTACGGTGAATTCCTAAACATTTTTTGGATAAAAGTGAACTCTTACGGGGGGGACTAGTGAAAAGTCTGCAGTAAAGATAAGAAAATTCAAAATGTTAATTTTCTGCTGCTGGTTGTTGGTTAGTTGGTTTTTAGAGAATAGCTTTTATTAGTTTTAATTATCTATATCAGAGGAAAAAGGTAACAACAAAAATAAAAAGCAGAAAAACTGGCAAAAAAATTGCCTGGAAGAAACCAGAGGAAGATAATTTATAAAGAAAGAAAAGAAAAGAGGAATTAATCTGTAACATGTTTGTAAAAATGATAGTAGACTCAGATATTTTCCTGTTTTGTTTTTATTTTTATACTACATTTATTTTTCCTTTGAAAATGCTAGGACTAGTAGGAGTAGGAGTGGGAATGTCAAAATCTTCAGGCCACTCTCACATGGAAATAATCCTATTGTCCTATAAATGTAGCTTTTCCTCAAGGACAGGCAGATTTTCAGTAGAATAGGAACGGAAAGATACTTTCCAGAAAGTTGTAATTTAGATTCTTTGATTTTAGAGAGCTGAAACCTGAGGACTCTGGGGCTAGAATTTGGACTCTAACCAGTTCCAGCTCCTGCCCTAAAGTAAACTAGATTTGGTGGTGTCTATTTCTAGGCCCCCACTTTTTATATTGTTATAGCATTATTGGCAATTTTCAATACAAGATACCCTATCTTCTTTAGGCATCTTAAAAAACAATAATCAGAGGTTATTACTCTGGATATCATAAGTTTCCATGTTACCAGGAAGGAAACAGGCCCAGATTCCAAACTGCTATTTCTGAAATAAAGTAAAAAGGAATTGAGGTTTCTAAAATATGCGTGGATTCAGTAGGATTTAGAAGGGAGAAGTAAATAATAATTATTATAACATTACTGAGGAGGGCCCCTAAATCTAAAGGAAGCTCCCATACCATTGTTCCTGGCAGAAACCATTTTCTGCATATGCAGTAATAGGAGGCTCTTATTCATGGAAAGGAATTTTGTTATCTGAATGGGGAGATGTCTAGGCTCAACCTATGCACGAACTCCTGGACCATGACTACTTTGTCCTCTAGCTTTTATGTCTGACTGGTCTTGGGACTCAGGCTCAGTTGAAAATGAGCTATTACTGCAACTTTAGTGCTTGCATCTGAAAAAAGAAGTTTCTTCTTGTTCATCCTCTTCTAGCTTGGTCTGGAGTCTGAGTTTGGTTGGATTATTGTAGAACAATTATTGTAAAACTTGTAAGAGGAATATGTTGGGCTGACAGTGATATTCTTCCATTTCCATTGTGTACTTTTTAATTGTGGATTGTGTGCTACAGTTGTGTTATAGTTGTAACTGCATAATGTGGAAAGTGGGAGGAACTATTCTTTGGTTTTGTGCTACGAATATGGGGAAGAAGTTTTTTTTTTAGTTAAATTAAGAACTATATAAGAAAGAACTTTTATTTTTGAAGTTTTTGTTAAGTAAATGTTTTTCTTTACTGTTTTTCATAAAAAAAGAGTGATTCACTGTGTTTGTCATTATCCAGGCTTTAACCATCCTGAAGTTGCAGTTTCTCTACACATATTCTTTTCTAGGAGTCAGGCTCTGAATGTTTTAATCTCCTTCACTCTGTGGAGAGAAATGGGGATAATGTTCTTTATTTGTTTTTATTTCTGCATATTATGGGGGTACAAATGTTTAGGTTACATATGTTGCCCTTGACCCCCAGCCCCCGAGTCAGAGCTTCAAGCGTGTCCATCCCCCAGACCGTGCGCGTCTCGCTCATTATAAAAGCTACATTTTAAAAACCTAACCACCGATTTCATGTTATTTGAGTTTAAGAACTATGTAAAACCTGATAGAGAAAAGTCAGTCTCTAACACCATGGTTTTGTATAAGTGAAAAGGTGACTATAGCGTTGAGAAAATAGCTTGGTTGTGTTATTTTCTAGAGGAAGATACATTTTTGTTGATATCTCTGTAGTGAGGGAAGTGTAGATTTAAGATAAATGTGAAATCCATGGGGTGTCTCTAACACGGAATAAAGCATAATTTGTTATGAATGAAGTTGTTCTTTTCAGTGATTCCTTTCTCTCTCTGTCTGTCTCTCTTTTGGATGGTGTAGAAATGAGACACATCAAAGTGTATTCCAAGAACCTCATATTAAAATTATTCTTAGAAAGGGATGGCGCTTCAATGTATCTTAACCCTCTGATATAGAAGCACATTTATAAACGATTTAGTCATAAGGGATGTCTTCACTCTTGTGTTCTTTCACAGATCTCAAAATACACCAGATATTCAATACCAGGGATTTTCCTTTAGCTTATTTATTTATGAAGTCTAGAATATCTTCTACATTTATTATAATGTGTTCTGATATATGCATTGCATCTCAATGAAGGGAAAACATGAAAGTGGGATTCTATGGATATTTTATGAAATGAGGGCTAAGGCAAAGTATATAGTCAATCTATCTACTAATGTCCTCAGCCAACCAGGGCATATTTTGTGTGCCACGATTAAATCACTGTAATAAGTTTCCTATACTTAAAACATCTATTTTTGATTTTGAAATATTTCTCAAGTCTTATATTTCACTAATTTTAGTTGCTATGTATATTTCATCTATCATATTTCAAGAAACTAGACACTTGCATTATTATTCCTTTTGAAAAATGTTTGCTTGTTCATATGTGTTTATTATTAAGAATTTGCCATAGACCTTTTGACATTTTTAGTTCATCATGGTAAAACAAACACAATAAGAGCAAGGTAACACGAATTTAGCCATTAATTCCCAGGTTATTAGAAAGAAGTCATATCCTTTACAACAGGTAAAAATTAATTGAAGGCAGATCAAAGACTGTGGTTTTTTCCCATAAGGCGTATAATTATAATAGGTTAAGTAGTTACAGATTATTACTTCGGTTTTTAGAGCTTCATGATACAGAACACACTGAAGCACAATCAGAAAGGACTTCAAAAAATTATAAATAACTAAGCCAAGATCAAGTTTAAAGGAAAAGTAAAATTCTCTGGCAGAAACCATTAAGGATGAACTCTGTGAGATCAAACATGGTTGTTCACAATATAGTTTTGGCACCACTTATATAGGTAGAATGCCAGGCTGGATAGTCCACAAGTCTAACCAAAAGTGGCCCTTAATACTTTCTATAAAATGTAAATTGGGAATATGATAAATATGTTTTAGAACATAACCTTATTTGAACCTATTTTGAGCTCATTTCATTTTCAATAATGTTTTAATTTTGTTTTAGCAAGTATTATTAGCTCAATGATACTGGTGATATTTGGGGCTTTTAATTTTGCATTCTATATAAAAGAGACAATAAAATGGGTGACTAATGTTTTTTACTAAATATTCTGAATGTTGCAACCTGTTATACCCATATATATTAAATGATTGCTCTTTATAGGACAATTATATGTTATATAACATAAAGATCTTAGATATTAAAATCCTAACCAGACATCAATGAATGTCTTGGTTCACTGTATAATATGATGAAAAATTTATAATATATTATTACTATTACTATCCTTTGTAAATGCAAAAATTCTTACCTTATTATCACAAATATAGCATAAAGAATCTTGAAGTTCATTCCTTAGCTTTTGAGGATATAATGTAGAAGAAGATCAATAAGAAAGTTTTAAAATAAGTAATAATTTTATAAAAGATACCAAAGAATAAAAATTCTCTTGGTGCATGCTCCTATACATTTAATATAAAGCAATTATATGAACATTAATTGTCACTTCTACGTCATGATATAAACTTTCACTCTTTTACACTTAAAGATATCCTCAGTTTTGTGAATTTTCCTCAGTTTATCATTAAGTTTCAGACAATATTTTTAGGAGAATATTGAAGAATATAACTCAAAATATTTTATGAAATTGAAGTAGCATGTACAACTATGAAGTAAACTTTCAATAGAAATATCTGAAGTGATGACAGATATTCTTATACATGCTCCTCTTTGCCAGCCACATGTTAATTAGAGTCTGCTAAACAAATGAAAGTCATGTTGTGTTTGAATTGCATCAGGAGTATGTGTGCATGTATGTGTGTGTATGTGTATGCATTAGTTAGAGAGACTGAATCCAAGAATTCAGCAAGAAAACAAGCTTCACGCATCACTTCCAAGTCAATGCAGTGTGTTAGGAGACTATCCACTGGAAAGCAGAAGCTCAGTTGATAAAGCGCCCATGAGATTTTTTACACACCACAGGTATTTCATAAAAATCCTAGAGAAGAATTTGACCTTTAATAAGCAAAATGATTACAAGAATTTATGATAAATATATCTGGATTCTATAATACCAAGATACTGTAAAAGCAGCTATTGTGAACATACATGGATCTCAGAA